TCTGGAGAGAGATCTGCGGGAAACCTGGGTTAAGGAGCTGTTGCGATGGTTAATCATTGACCGTAGGCCCCCAGGGCCGAGGAGTATTTGGAAATTCACCCAGTTTCTGCTAAGCTGCCTTGGCTAAATGCCTGGGTTAAGTGCGTTTAAAGAAGGGCTGCTGCAGGAGAAAGACCTTGCTGACTTGGCAGTTCTGGAGAGTGTAAAATCAAAGGGGGAGAGTGATAGAAAGAGATGAACTCTAGGGATTGCATGGTCTCTAGAGGAAACTCCTCGCATGTTGACACTGGTACGCAGAAGAGGGATGCTGCTGCAGTTCTGCCCCTGTGCGTAGAGAAACTGGGGACATCCGTGTTTGAGGAGGGGAAAAGTGCTGGAGCCACAATCAGATAAACGTGTAGGGTGCTCTCAGAGTTGAGAAGCTGCTGTTCCTATGTATGGGTGTAGATGTATCTTGGTGGAGGTGCATCTTGCATGCTTCATGTTCCCCTTGTGACAGCAGCACCATACAGGACTGAAGCCAGCTTTGCAAAACCTATTGCTATCGCTGGCATAGTCTGATTTGTCTCATTGGAGTAGGGACAAAACCACAAAACAAGTGATAGTGGGTGGGTGTCTGTACATTTTGGCTTAAATGAATCAGACTGTTTCTCAGACTGTGTAAGTGTCAAAAGCAAGACTGAAGTCTCTGGAGTAGTAATCTTTTGTCTAGGCCATGGGAGTGTGTGTGATACAGTCCTTATTTAGATAGTCACAACTGAAAATTTGGCCCTAAATAAATAAATAAATAAACTGAGTTCGGAGAGAGTGTGATCATGTGAAGTTAAAGTTTTCCATCAGGACTAGAGACGCCTCATATAAGCCAAGATACTATCTATCTTTGGAATAGGAGTGCCTTAAACTAGTTAACTTTTCAGGTTTATTTGCTCATAGTAAATAGAGACTTGGTAACTCATAACCTCATTTTACTCTTTTTTTTTTTTTTTTTTTTTTTGTAATTTTTGCTTTTTTAAAGAGCTTGATGCAGTAGCTAGAATGTAGCTCAAAGTTTATTCTCTTCCCAGACTAAAAATGTTTAATGGATTGGGTTTGGTAAATACAGTACAAGTTAGTTTAATTTAAAAAAAAAAAAAAAATTGAAGGAGGGAGCAGTCTCCCCAAGTGACTGTAACCTGGGGCGCTTGCATTGCAAACTTCACGCCTCTGAATACCTTCATCTGGATGAACAGACTCTGTGTACAGCAGGACCACTCATTCTGGATAAAGCCATTCACGGACCGTGGTATCTATGAGGCTGCAACCTCAGGCACAGGGCTTGGTATCTCACTGTAGTATCCTAACAGCTGCATACAAGAACGGAGCTGTCTTGGGAGGAGGAACTTGCCAAGTCATAGCTCTTGCATAATCAGAGCTGAGAACCAAGAAACTGTGGCTGTTAGAAAGCAGGGCACTGTGTTAGGGCAGTGGCTTGTGGGGTTGGGCTTTGTCAAGGAACAAAGTACAAATAGAAGGGCAGAGTTCAGGTTTATTTTTTGAGCTTTGGTGAACAAAGATCTTGGGAAACCTCTGTTCCATACAGAAGACAAAATTGTCCAGTATTTATTTTAACAGCAGAAATAAAGCTTGCCAAGAGAAAGTACTCTTGGTGTAGCCTTTGGATTTCTGTACCTGTTTCCTTCCTTCCTTCCTAGGGAAGGAAGCTAATAAAGAAGCTGACAATGTATTAATCTTAATAGTGCCAGCAATATGAGCTGTCATTAAAATAATGTCCATTAACCCCCATTTTTCAGAAAAAGGGGGAGAAACAGGCAACTGGACTAGAACTCATGAAATCTAACAATAAACAGCGCTCATCTTTTTCTGTGGTATTAAGGGGAAGAGTTTGGTCATGCTTTCAAGTTCTTTTGTACAACCTTGATTAAAGCTTGTGTCCTTAGAACACACACCCTGAAATCTCAGATGTTCACCTTTATTATTATCCTCTCATAGATCTCCCTAGGAGCTGGGGTTTGAACAAGAATAGCAGTTAGCCTGAAACTAGGGATGAACTGATTATTTTCAAGACTGTTGGGAAAAGATCCTGTATGCTGTCTTAGTACCTCTCTTCTAGTTGTGCTGTAAAAATGCAGGATACTTGTACTGGTGATGTGGGTTGGCAGTTTTTAACTTAGGTTGGGTTTTTTTATGTCTGTTGCAGCTCAAGATGTCTAAAAAAATCAATGGAGGCTCCGTTGTGGAGATGCAAGGAGATGAAATGACACGGATCATCTGGGAACTGATTAAAGAAAAGCTGATTTTTCCTTATGTAGATCTGGATTTGCACAGGTAATAGCCCTTTATGACACACAGAGACTTTGTACTGCAATGTGCATGTCTCGTTAGGCATTGATCAACTTTCACTTAGCATGGAGAGCCTTATAGCTCTTCCTGCACTAGTGCAGAGAGGCTAACTAGCCCTGTTTCTACTGATAAAGTTCCCAGCAGACTCCCCCGGTTAACTTACCCAAGGGCCTACCTCACTAAGTACTCTGAAAAATATGGGCTCACAGTGAAGGTATTTTGTCAAAGTCTGGCAGCCACTCTGGTGTTCCTCACAGCAGTAAGCAGGGAACGCATAACTTTGAGTTAGAGGTACAGTACAGAAATAAAGCTAAGAAGGTCTGTCACAGACATGGTCTGCATTTTTATCTCCTGTGTCTTGGCTTTCCAGCACCTGGACAGTCTGCATGGCTTTCTGCAGCCTAAACAATGAGAAACATGGGGTGTTTCTGCCACTCCCTGACTTGAAGCCTAGCATCTGTGGACTGAGTAGGTTTATGGCTTCTTGCCATCTATGAAGATCTGCCCAAAGGGCAAAAGGCTGGTTGTAGGGCACAGACTCTGCCCTGATGTCTGTAAGCTTGAGTCCTGCTGCTGGCAGTGTGAGCTAACTGTTGCAGTTATTCCCCCAGCATAGGCTGTGCTCTTACACTCCCTTCAGGTAAAAACAAATACTTGCAGCTGCTATGGCAAAAGGAACATGCTGTCTACAGCATCTGATCAAGCAGAACAAATAATCTCTTCTCTTTCTAGCCACTGAGCTATAATTATTAGAGAAGTTTCCAGTTGCATTGCTCCTGGCCATGTGGACAGAGGCCTTCACTGGTGTCTGCTGTTATTAAACCCTCAAGTCTGACCTCTTCCCTTGCTCCTGGAGTCATTTGTATGCCACCTACATCAGGCTTTCTGTTTGCTGGTGTAGAGAACCAAAGCAAACAGGAACCCAGCAACATAATACATGCATGCAGTCTGGAGAACATCCCTTTGCAGAGGGGTGAGAGGAGGGAAAGCGGACCCCTGGCTGAAGCAGCACAATGGCTAGATTCATGTACAGCTGGCTGGCTGTGCTTCAGTTGGCTGTCCCATGCTGGCCACCCATTGTTCTCCAAAAGCTAGTAAAACAGAGTGTGGGAAAAGTGCTTCCTCTGACTGTTGGAGGGGGAATATTGGCAGTTTTGCTGCCAGAGCAGGATTGTGGGTCCATAGTCAAAGCAGTTTTTGATTTGGAGCCTAGTGTAGCTTCGTATGCTCAGTATATGAAGGAAGCCAGAACCGTCAGCACAAGAGGTTTGAAATAAAGGCCCATATCCATCTGGGGATTGTGCTGCTCCATACCGTTAGAATCCCAGACTGAAAGCTTCCATTGCCAGGAAGCTCAGAAGGGAAGGCAGGGGAGATACTGGCTATGTCCCGTGCTGGCAGAGAGCCTCAACCATGAGCTGAAGCTGTCCTTTTTTCAACCTCCTACCAGCAGCAGAAGTATGAGTATCTGAGCCTATGTTTTCTTCCAGTCCAGCAGCATTTGTGCTGGAAGAGGGATAACTTCAGTTGTGGCAGAGTGCTGGAACTACACTCACAGGCACATACGGGGTCTAGTTTCTTCCCCGTTGGACGCGAAGTAATGTCCTGGGCAGTTTTGACCATCTTTGTGGGTTTGTTACAGCTATGACTTGGGCATTGAGCATCGTGATGCTACAGATGATAAAGTAACCGTGGAAGCTGCTGAAGCCATAAAGAAATACAATGTTGGCATAAAATGTGCAACCATCACTCCTGATGAGAAGAGAGTGGAGGAGTTCAAGTTGAAGCAGATGTGGAAGTCTCCCAACGGGACGATTAGAAACATCCTAGGTGGCACTGTCTTCAGGGAGGCTATTATCTGCAAGAACATTCCCCGGCTGGTGTCTGGGTGGGTGAAACCCATTGTCATTGGCCGTCACGCTTATGGAGATCAAGTGAGTCACTTCTGTGCTTACCCTTGTTTTTATCTGAACTGGTCCTGGCTGGTATAGAGCTACAGAGACTTAGACATCCCTGTGCTGCTGCTTTATCCCTTGCACTCCACCTGGGAGCGGATACACTTTGTTTGTACAGCACCTGGCAAAGTGTAGGAGAGCCTGGTTCATGCCTCTGTTTCTTAGTGTAGGTGTATGAACAGTGTTCAGGGGCCTGTGCTTCAATTAGATAGATATGTACCTAAACACAGGGTGTAACCCCTCTAAGTTATTTTTCTTCACCTCTGCAGAACCATCCTCCCTACACAGCAGTGTCTTTATAGAATCACAGAATGGTAGGGGTTGGAAGGGACCTCTGTGGGTCATCTAGTCTGACCCCCCTGCTGAAGCAGGGTCACCTACAGCAGGCTGCAGAGGACCTTGTCCAGGCAGGGCTTGAATATCTCCAGAGAAGGAGACTCCGCAACCTCCCTGGGCAGCCTGTTCCAGTGCTCCATCACCCTCAGAGTGAAGAAGTTCTTCCTCATGTTCAGATGGAACTTCCTATGCTTCAGTTTGTGCCCGTTGGCCCTTGTCCTGTCGCTGGGCACCACTGAAAAGAGTTTGGCCCCATCCTCCTGACACCCACCCTTGAGATATTTATAAGCATTTATTAGGTCCCCTTTAGAAAATATCCTTTACGCTGCCCATCTTCCTTCTCAGAAAGACTTTATGGTGGCAAATGTCGCTCACAGCAAAAATGGATCTGAGTGAATGATTTTTAGAAGTGGGCAAAGTTTCCTTCTGTGCATGGGTGTGGCTTTGTTTTCTTTTTTTTTAAACTGTGATCTTCTTCTTAAACTTACTTGCAGAGCACTCCTGCGGAGCTGGTATTTATACTGGGCACATCAGGCTGTGGTACCGAAGTTGGGAAACATCCTCTATCAGGCCTCTCATGGCAGAGGTAGTACAAGGCCATGGAAAGCCCTGGCATGGCACTCAGTGTAGTGGCCTTTGGGCAGCCCAGAGGACAAGGATCAACCATACTGTTCTCCATGGGTGATGATGTGCTGTAAAGCAGCCAAATACAACAAAATTTTTAAAAAGTCTTCTATAAGAGTCAAGTGCTTAAACAGATGGGTAAACCCATAAACCCGGGGCAAGTCATAAGATTAGGTGGGGTGGGAAGGTAAAATAATGAATTTCTAACAGAAAAATAATTGCAGAGCCCTGACACTAGAAAACAATGGGGCTCAACATCCTTGAGAGTACTGAATAATTGAGAAGGTCAAAATAATAATAGGAAACGATGGATTAAGGGGGAGGATTGAAACCCTGCCAAAGTACAAGATTAAAGTGAAAGGAACAATATAATAACATGTAAAGGACATATGAGCGAGACACTTCTTTAACTTCAGAACAGCTCAGGGAACCAATTTGTTCAATAGGAGGGAAAGTACGTAAAAAAGGATGACTAATTTCAAGGAAATCTAACCTTAAATAGTGCTGTTCAGGACAGTTGGGAAGATGAGACACAATTTAAAAACTTGTACATGTTTTTATGTACTTGTACATTTAAAAACTCAAGTAATGTTGGCGTTTGTTCTGAGTCTGTGTAGCTCAGAGGAGCAAAATGTGTACCCATTTACAGAATTCAAAGAACTGTAACTACAGACTGGCCTTTCAAATGTCATATGGTGGATACAAATAATGGTTTTCATTAAGGTGCTGTATGATTTTCCCCTTATTCACAAGATCAGTAGTTGTGATACAAATAGCTTTTTTTGAGGCAGGGAGGGGAGCCTGTCTACTCACAGACCCCACAACACTCTGGATGCTTTGCACTTTAAAACTTCAGTGCGTCTGCAAAAGTAAATACTCTGCCAGTCGGTGGGGCACAAGAGTCTGTAAGCTTTTTCTCTTAAAGAGGAAGGTCTCTTCTGCTAACAGGCAGACTCTTCACTATTGGTCTTTCTAATATCCAGTAAAATAATCCAATGACCACATGGCTGAGTAAACAGAGCCTGTTCCATGGGGTTTTCTGGTACAACTATGCTTTTCCGCACCCTTCCCTCCCAAACGTGGGTTGTCTTTTATGGTTCTGTCCTCCCGATAGATAAAATCATCATGTCACTTTTTTTTTTTTAACAGTACAGAGCAACTGATTTTGTGGTACCTGGGCCTGGAAAAGTGGAGATGACCTACACTCCAAAAGATGGAGGCAAACCAGTCACATATCTGGTCCATAACTTTGAAAGTAGGTATTATCTTTAAGTTGTGATTAAAACTGATTTTTTTTGTTTAATTCAACCTCGAAGTACCAGTCAGATCTGTTTGATGGTAAAATATGACTTTGAGGTAGAGTGGGGGAGAAGGTCTGGGCCTTCTTGCTTTACCTGGGAAGTACTGAAAGTTACTTGGAACCTTCCTGGGATCAAAGAGGTGTATCAAACACACAATCATACTAGACTGGTCACCTGTCGTGCTCCATGTATGATGCCTCTGGTAGCGGCATGCATGTTTTTCTCTCTGATCAGAGGCAAACTTGCTATCTAAACAGGGCTTGACATAAGGGGAGATATATTTGAGAACAATTCGGGTATAATTCTTTCTGGTTTTAGTTTGTCTTACTGGGCTCTATATACCTTTGCAGTTTGCACCCTTCTTTATTAAGCAGTCTTTTTTTTCAATAGAAATAAGAACTGATGCTTACTCTGCAAGGTGGAAAGGAGATTTGACAAGGATGCTCCTGACCGTGTAGGCTCTAACTGTTTTAACAGATGCAGTCCCGAAGGTATTGGTGTCCCTCCTAGCAATATTGCTGTGCTGGCTGTAGACATTGCTAGGGTCAGGTGGTGGAGTCCTGACATTGCTGGGCTTTGTTGTGTGGGAAGAGTTGCACACACGTTGCTAGTACCCAGGGTGTTTCTCTAGGGGCAGCATTTAGGAAGGCGTCACACAAGTCACCTCTCTTGCCTATCAGCGATCAAAGGATTCGGGATTTGAAGCCTTATGGTTACCTGCGTACATGAGCATGCAATGGTTTGTTTCTAGCTACAAAAACCTAATACATCCACATAAACCGTAGAATCCTAGTTTGTATGCACTTGGCTTGGCAAACAGGTACCAAGACTGCCACATGATGCTCATTTGTGATATTTGATTTCTCTGGCATCTTTGCTCACAGGAGCCTAAATATCTACTATCTCATGTTGCACAGCCTTTCATCTGTAGTTCACCTGCTTCACTGCCAGTCCCAATCTGTTTTCATTTGATAGGTGACTGGTGAGCCTGTATTGGAGACGTCTGGCAGTTCCAGCTGCCAGTCTGATTCACTGCTCTGCGTTGCATCAGCAAGCAGAAAGCAAGGAACTGCAAAGATGGCAGATTACTGCTGTTGCTCTGGGGGAACTTCCACTCCCCACAGACAGCTGTTGTGCCAGCATATCTCCACAGCGCATAAGGGAAGCTTGTCCTATTGCTGTACTAATATCTTCAACCTTGACACTGAATCAAGAAACTTTAGTAGGCAGTAGGATTGTATGTTTGCAGCAAGGCTTTTTTCTTTAACCTATATGCAAAGAAGTATTTGAATAAAACTTAACAGCTGTCATCCAGGAACTATGAAATCATGGCTCCAGAAGACACAGTCTCTCTAGCTGATCAGACCCCGTTCTAGCCTTGACTCACTAAGGGGGGAGGGGGACAATGTGTAATTTTGCTGGTAACATCAGGAATTTCATTCCTTGCCAATATCAACTTTAAATGACCATGATGTCTTGGCAGGCAGATAAACTTCCTCTGGCTTCCCCTCTTCATTCTGCATGCATGTCCATATAGTAACAAACATCTGGAGGTAAGGACAAATGGATATTAGGAAAGGGTATTTTCAAAAATAAAAAAATCTGGGATATTTCCAGAGCAAAGATCCGTGATAAAAGCACTGTACAACAAACTAGAGAGGTGGTGGTAATGAGGTGCTTAAAATGAAGCACATGGTATCTAGTTTTCACTAGAAACACAACAAGCTGTGCTCTGAAAATTACAAAGCTTTTTCATGAAGCCCTAGACCCTACTTTCACCCACAATCAGCCTGTCCCATGATCTGAATTCTGCTTTCACGGAGGTGAACTAGGCTGTAAGTTTAAGGTGCTTCCATTCAGGCTGCTAACACGTCTGCATTACACGACTTAAGTCATGTGAGTGGTGATAGTTCCTCAGAGCCTTCTCAGGACTTCACACCCAGATGACTGATATGTTGTTGCCACAACTCGCTGGAAGTGAGCCTGAGCAGGTGAAACAAAGCTGCAGGGTAGGCCAGACGTGTATGCTGAAGAGATGCAGGAATGCATGTAGGTACTTGTTTGCCTGAGCTAGGCAAATCAGCCTCTGACTGCTGGAGTTAGTGCTGTAGTGCAGTCACAGCCTGAAGGTATAAGGCATTCAAGATGGGAGCTAAACCCATTTTTAGCTTTGAAAGAGACCCCTGCTCCAAACTGCTACCTGCTGCTTTGATAGAGAAATACTCTGTGTTACTTACATGGATAGTAGGAGTTCAAGCACACTCACTCCTGTCACAGTTTTGCTGCTTAGGCTGGATTAGGAAGAAACTTCTTAGGGGTATTAGATCACAGTATTAAGGTGTACCTGGCTGAAGAACAAAACCATATTCCTATCCATGCATCACATGACTGCTGGAGCTTTGAGCTGATAGTGCAAAGTGAATCTTCTCTGAAAGAACCAGCTTTAAGTTGAGCACTATATCAAGACACCTGGGGATAACACCAGTCTGCCTGCCAGACTATGTTATTGGGAGACTGGCAAATCCTTAACCAAAACTAGATCTAGTTGGTTCCTATCTGTTCTTCCTCCACGAACAGGCTGTGGTGGTGTAGCCATGGGAATGTACAATCTTGATCAGTCTATCAAGGATTTTGCCCACAGTTCCTTCCAAATGGCACTGTCTAAAGGCTGGCCCCTTTATATGAGCACCAAGAACACGATCCTGAAGAGATACGATGGCCGCTTTAAAGACATCTTCCAAGAGATCTATGACAGGTAACTAGGATAATTGTGTACTTCCTACCACAGTGCAAAAGTCTGCAGCAAGAACATCCTCTCCAGCTTTGTAAGCTGCTGCAGTTAATTCAGCATTTTCAGCTGCTCAGCAGTACTTTGGGGGGGCTGTGTGCCTCCTCTGTTGCAGTCTCTCTTGTCCTGCAGGCCACAATACTCAATGTTTAAAGCTCTACTAAATATGGCTGTGGTGGTCATCTCTGCTAGCAGAGAGTCACGGTGTCTCTATGGGCTCCTCTGTGATTCTGAAGCAGACTTGCAGTGGCCTAGCAAAGCGAGCAAGGAAAAAAAAAAAGAGTGAAGAGGATGCACATTTCTTTTAAGTTGTTTTTTTTTTATTTGTATCTCTGTGCACCTCACTGTGCACAATTACTTGCACAAATTGTGCAATCCTTGTTTTTATCTACATGACAAGCTGTTCTGGTTTTTGTTTTCCAGAGAATACAAGTCCCAGTTTGAAGCCAGAAAGATCTGGTATGAGCATAGGCTCATTGATGACATGGTTGCTCAGGCCCTGAAATCTGAAGGAGGCTTTGTCTGGGCGTGCAAGAACTACGATGGGGATGTGCAGTCTGACTCTGTTGCGCAAGGTGTGAGATGCTCCCTGTGCTACGCTGAAGTGGGATCGGTAGCAGTCTCTTGTGACCTTGTGTCATGTCTTGTGTAGTGGCCCAAGAGGTGGTGTTGGATCTCAGAACTTACATTTCAAACCTGTGGCCAGTCATGGAGATCAGGCAGCCAAAGAATTTCTGATTTCACCTTTACAAGAAAATCCATTGAATGTAGACTGTGTAGTTGCACTTCTTTACCAGATGGCAGTTCCTACCAATATAATACCTGATGGGCTTTGCATTCTAGTGGAAGGTATCCAGACAGCTGGGATTCTGTCACTGACAGCTGGAGTTAAGCTGACTGGTGGTGAGCATACTGGCAGGTGCTCTACAGATAAGTAAGAAAACCTTCAGGACCTAAAGCCACCTGTCACGTGTAAAGAAAGATATTGATATGTTTAACTTTATAGACTTGTAGAACTTGATCAAAATCCTATATAACCAAGCTGCCTGGTGCCAAAACAAATATGGACACAGAAAGCCACAGGGCAAGATGTGTGGCTTTGTTATATGCTCTTTCCAAATAATGTCAGTAACCTGCCTCCCACAGAACAAGGATGTGTGTTGAACTACTGAACAAAGAAGCTTTCAAAGACAGAGATATGAAAACTGCAGGGTTAGAAGCGGTGCGAATGTCCAATTTTGCCAGCGCATGGTTTCTTTCACTAGAGCAGATGGTCATGATATGAAGTAGGTTTGTTTCCCATCACCCTGTGGTGAAGGTAGCAACTGACAGCCCAACACTGCTTGTTTAGGATTCTTTGTTCTCATACTGCACCTTTTCAGTAAAAATCTGTCCAGCAAGTTGGGTGAGAGTATTAATTTTCTTGAAATAGTGTCAGTGAGTTGCAGCAACACTGCTGTTTAGGAATACTCCCATCAAGGCTGGCAGGGTGTAGGAGGCTTGTCGGATGGGGAGATTAAGGGGAGTTGAAGGGGACTGTCCAAAGGAGACCCTAAACTTTTTAAACTCTGTGTTCTGTAGGCTATGGCTCTCTGGGGCTGATGACCAGTGTGCTGATCTGCCCTGATGGCAAGACTGTTGAAGCAGAAGCTGCTCACGGCACAGTTACTCGCCACTACCGCATGCACCAGAAAGGCCAAGAAACCTCCACTAACCCCATTGGTGAGCTGCTTTTCACTGCCTGTCAGTGATCTCTACACATGACAGAACAGGTCTGGAGTAGGAAAGTCTGTATCCTTTCTGCAGCAAATTGCACCACTGAATGGTGAAACTGGTAATTCATTATACATTTTTCTTCCATGGAGACAGCTGCAGCCTGGAGCAAAAACAGGCTGGAATGGAGTGAGTGTGAGCAATAGCTAGACCTAAACTAGCCTCGCCTTTGAGACATGCTCTCACTCTTCAGCAAACTATGGGTTTATAGCCACAATGGCCTTAAGGTTTGGGTTGGTTGTTTTTGATTTTACTCCCCTTCCTGATGCTCCAAAAGACCCAGCCACCCCCCAAACCATGTTCATACTTAAAGTATAAGTGCATCTAGAGTGGGACATGAGGGAAAGAATCCTCTACAACTGCATAGGGGCTGGAGTATAATGTAATATCAGGAAGAAGACTGCACGCTTCTATCATAAGGACAACTTTCTGTGTAACCAGAGTCCTGCCACTGGTCATTCTTTTCAACTTATGCAGGAACAAAATAAGATAAAATGGCACACATAATCTGATGGCTGGAGGCAGGGAGTAATTTCTAGGGTTTGCTTTTCTTTAGAGCTGCACAAAATGCAAAGGATGCCTAGATGAATATAAGTGTCCTCTTACACATACCAGATTTTCTATCTTTTTTCCTGCCTGTTTTCAGTTTCATTAATGTTAAAAAATAATTACTGTTCCACATGAGTTTAGAACAATGTCCAGGGAGTTCTAGAAGGACAGAGTAATCTAGTGTTCTCTTTCAGCCTCCATCTTTGCATGGACAAGAGGACTAGCTCACAGAGCTAAGCTGGACAACAACACTAGCCTCAAGAACTTTGCGGTTGCCCTGGAAGAAGTCTGCATTGAGACCATCGAATCTGGCTTCATGACTAAGGACCTTGCTGCCTGTATCAAAGGCCTGCCTAAGTAAGTGTCTGAAGTCATCAGCTGTGCTTGGAGGAGGCTGCTTGACTGGGTGTTTCTGAACAGCATTTGCTGGACAGTTATTTTAGTGTGGTGAAGAATTGCTGGAGTCTGGTCACAGAAGAGGGCTCACCTGTACCCAGTGCTGTGCAGACAGAACACGAGACACTCCACCCCAAGTAGCTTAGTCTAGGTTGCTCTGTCCCTGCTCTTGTACCCAATGCATGGGGGGAAAAATAGAGAAGGAACTGCAGAGATTTCTCTTGTGATGGGCTGGTTGCATTGGCCACATCCTGCCCTGTCCATTTATTAGGGTGGAGACCTGCTGCACTGCAAAGTACCACCTGGCTATCTCTTCTCTGGAGCCTTTTGGGAAAAAACATCAACCTGATAAGTAGGAAATAACACTTGTGGTTTTAGAGGGAAGAATTAGAGTTCTTTGAATGGTCTTCCCCTGCTTTAAGTGTTTGAGTGGCTTTGCAACTAACATCTGTCTTGTTTTGTTTCCCCTCCTCAGTGTCACGCGCTCTGACTACTTGAACACTTTTGAGTTCATGGACAAGCTTGCTGAAAACTTGAAGGGAAAGCTGGCCTCTCTGCCCAAACTTTAAGGCACAGGTTCTATTCAAGCTTCAGTAACAAAGTATATCCCGCTTACACCAGACTGTAAGTGGCATTGTATCACACTCTGTTGTGTAACATTTCAAATACTAGACAAAAATGATCATGTACTCTTTTTTAAATGTTTAAAAGACCGTGTTTTTTTAAACCCCTTGAGCTGCTGGGCTAGGCCTTACTGTTGCTAAGCAGCTGAATGTGATGGTATTCAAGCTCAATGTGGGTCTGGATTCCTAACGTCATTCACAGCAGACCTGAGCTTTCTCTCCATGACTTCATGCTCTGTGTTTCTTTTCTCTCTTCCTCTCCGACTAAAAGCCAGTCTGTGTCACAGCTCTGGTCAAACCAGTGGTGACTTACTGTCCAACAGACCTCAAACTGAAACCGTCCTCATTTCTCCAGTACTGTCCCCTGAGTATAAGTGAGCTCACAGGGCTACGCCAGCTACTGCAACCCCTATCTTACTGAATTTATCTCTTAGTGCAAGCCAGAGCATCGTATCCCAATACTAAGGGATTTGGTCCCATTGCTACAGTGAGGACTGTAGCGTTTGAGAAGAAGCACTTAGTAAATGTTGGAAACAAGCCCTGTAGGCTAAGAGCCCAGCAGAGCCATGCAGCGGTGTCTAAATGCAGGCCATGCATTTAGTTAGACTCCTGCTGACGGGATGTGAAGCATAGGAACTGTCACCTCTTCCCCAGCCCCACAATTCATAAAGGTGCAACCAGTTCTCTGGGCTATTACTTACCTTTCCTGTTGTGATACAGTTGGTCAGATTATGACTGTGAAAAACTATTCCATCCATAGTTATGTGTTTGGATTTTTTTAAAAAATGTTTTAGTTCAGACTAAAATAAAAGCCAGCTAACATTCTTTGTGTGTCTCCTTCCTTTGTGGGATTAGCAGATATGGGGAAATTCTGCCTCAGAGAGAGACTCCCATACCTTTCAGCACAGTCTAGTACATGCTGAGACAGACTGATGGAATGTGATATAAAGGCAAAATAATCTCTCCCTTCTCAGAGTAGGGTTTCAATTTGTTCTGGCCCGTGGCAAGATGTGATCTGTACTGTGGTGGTAAGCATCAGGTAGTGCACAAGAATGTAGAAGTACCACTTCCATTGAAATTTTATTTTGGGTCTAATATAAACTCAAACTGATGTATCACCACTGAACAAAGATCAGAAACTGGTTATACAGGAGACAAGCTCTCACCCTGCAGCTGACTAACTGTAAGTGTTGGTTAGGATAGAAATGCAATGTCAGACTCCATCAGCTGGAATTAACATTTGCTTTGGGATGAGCATGTGTTTGAAAGGCAGCTCTACAACTGCTGGCAGCTGTCACTGTGCCGTGCCTTCAATCTGGATGGACACAGTAGTCTGCTATTCTGTTACTAACACAAGCACCTAAGAAGTGCAGCTGGAAAAAGTACCATTGCTGGCCCACAGAAGCAATGGAAACAATCATCAGGAACATCTCGAGATCTGTGTTCCTGCCTGGGTTCTGACACTGCGAGTTCAGATGACTGTGCCACAGTCAGGCAGGTCCTACCACAACAGCACCTCTAACAAATCGCCCTGTTACTGACCAGCTTCTACCCAGCTTCCAGAGTTACAGAGTACCAGAAAAAGCTTAGTACCTTTCAGGAAACTGACCAAATAAATAAAGGGACATTTTAAAATCTTATACCTTTGGTTTGTTTGAATGACTAAAGTGTAAGCAAGGCAGTAGCATTTACCTGACTGCAGATGACACTATTTTCCCTCTGTACTAACAAATTTTCCATCTTCTGGAGGACTCTGCAGAGTACAGAAATATCTAGTCTATCCTCATGAACCAGTGGATGTTGCTGAAGGGCTGAGGAGAGAAAGGAACACTTGCTTCCTTGCTGGGAGAAGCAGCAGTAAGTGTGGTCGTGAGAACAGGGCAGCCCTCTCCCCACTCTGCCACGGAGAAAGAGGAAACATTTTTCCTGCTTCCAAGGAGGCACATTCCTTTGCCCTTTACTGCCAATATGATCCCTTCTTTTCCCCACCACTCCCTCAAACATTTAATGCAAATAACCTTAAAAGTTAAACACCAGTAACCCCTAAAAAAAGCAAGTGCTGGAGGCCAGTGGGCATTCAGTCTGCAACTGAGAAGAGCACGGGAGTCCCTGAAGCACACACACTGTCTGCTTCACAGAGCTCTTGGGCAGGGCCCTGCAGCTCCCACTGCCAGCAGCAGCCCTTTGCACCGACCCCACCAGCAGCAGACCGCAGCAAAAGCTGTCTTTGATCGAAGTATGGCCTGGCTTACCTTCAGTGCTGATGCTGATGTAGTTAGACGTGCACACCTGTGTCCTGGGTGTTGCCAGCTTGGCACTGGTGGAAGGTGCAGTTTTCAACTCCGTCGTTATGCAAATCCCCACCGACAGTAGATACAGTGAGAGGAGCCAGATCCGTCACCCAACATGGCTCCCTTCCGGAACAGCAGAGCGCTCTGACTGCTAGGGCTGTGCAGGGCTGCAGTAGCCAACCTTACCTGTGACTTCCAGGGGACTGCCCTGCCTGCACAGAAGCCACCTTTTACAGGAGGTAATGCTAGGCAACGTGTCAGCACACCTCTTCTGCTTGCTCCCAAAGCCCTTCCTCCCCTCTCAGCAGCCCCTGTGGGTAGCTGCAGTGCCAGAAGATGAGCCCCCCTCCAAGGCGGGCTCTCCCCTGGCTTGCGCAGGGCCAGGAGAGAACCGGCAGAGCCAGCTGGCTCTCTGTGGTGCCACAAGCACCCGCGTGTGCACAAAGATTCTGCAGACCAGCACCCCAACATTTGAAGGGGGAAGGGGGAAATAAGGGTCACAAAGTTTTACAAACTTTCCACATAGGAGACTTTATTTATACTTCAAAATTAAAATAAAAACTAAGCTATGCAAAATGTCAGAGATATTCTAGCAAAGACGCATAAGCCCCTAGGAGCTCACGGGCTGCCTGCTCAACCACTATTTTACTTCCTGCTTCACGTCTCTTCCCATTGTTATCGGCAAGCCTGCCTTGGCACTGGGACATCCTTCAGGAAGCCATTCTTTCTCCTCTTTGATCTTCTTGGTCATATCCTTGACTTTGGCAGTTTTCTTTTTGCTTTTGTAGCAAGGGGAGTAGAGGAACTCTGTGCTTGTAAATGGGTCACCCTGCCTCAGTTTCCTGCAGAACGAAAAGGGTTAGATTGAACCATCAAGGTATTTCTTGAACACGTGTATGACTTCAGTCTCTGAAGTTTCTGGTTTTACTGAAATGCTTCTACTGCAAGATGACTGAGTGGTACAGTTTATTCCTTGTCCAGTACAGGAACAGCTGTACCAGAACAGAGTACCTTTTGACCCAGCATAACCAACTCCTCACAGAACATTCAAATTGTGACACCTCAGGAAAAAAAAAAATAGAATTACCCAGCAGCATAACAAAGTCATCATTTTGGGAGTTACTTGGTTCTGTACAGTAGCCCCTGGATGTACTGAATCTACAGTTTCTTAGGGAAAAGACGCAGATACTTGTTTAGGTACTCGTATCTGCCAGAAAAAGCAAATGCAGATACAGCCTGCCCACAGGCCACCCTCCTCAAAACCTAGCATTTCCTTTACTGAAACCTGATTAAAATGGAAGTATTACTCAGTTGTATACAACTTTAGGTATCACAGAATGGCAGAAAGTGAAATCAGGACTTTCCCTTTGCTGTCTTTATTTAGCCTGTGTTGTATCATCACGCTAATCCCTCATTAGCACTGGAGTGCCGCAGATGCAGGCTGCTAAGAGATGTGCTCATTTCAGTGAGGGAAATCACATCTTTGGTAGCTTGTTAACATGCACCTGTGCTAACACAGAATTTCAGCTGAACTGCACTGTGGTGGAAGAGCAGGGCCACAGAAACACAAAGAGTAAGAGGGACTTAAAGACAACGTGGCAGAGGGTCCAGCCCTGGAGAGTCAGCGCGTGAGAGCAGAGCAGGGATGGCAGCACGGGAACAGCTGCGGGAAGGAACAGTTGAAAGCCCAACCTGTTGAGTTTGGGCTCTGCATAGCAGGCTGGGTGCAGCCTCCGCCGGGATGAGCACCCTGACACTTCTTCCGAGCTGGGGGAGGGCAGAGTCCTGGCATTGGTCAAGTCCTGTAGCGGCCTGATCTCTGCAAAGGGAGACATTCACACACGAGTTGATCAAAGCATTTCCAAAACGTTTCCAGATATCCCAAGAAACACAGCTGCCAAATAGAGAAAGGCTGCATTACCAGGGTTCTCTGAACACTGCACAATCCTGAATCCAGTCATGTTCCCTCTAAACTCGAGACCATTTTTGCCCCAAAATCCCAGACCTGCTCCTTAAAAGTCAGCTCACGAATCAAATTAGGTTCCTCTCTGAAAACAAAAAAGGTCACTAATACTGCTAGCATCACTGGGCCCCAGTGTAGTAGAAAAATGATAAAAAAAGTGACAGTTGATGGTTCTAATGCCCAGGAGCTTACAGCCTGGAGGAGAAAGCAAGCTTATGGCACCCAACCAACTTATGAGATGTCCAGCAAGACGCAGGACCTTGCCAGTCTACTGCAGCTTTCAAAGTGAAGTCGGCCAAGGGGGGCAGGGCAGGAGAACAAACTTCCTCCCTCTCCGCAAAGTACAGCCCACTCTAGCTGTAGCAGGCCTGTTTGTCAGCAGCTACAGGAAGGAAGAACCCCACAAATCAACTCTCTTTGCAGAGTATCCAATAACAAGCAGCTCCCAAAAATGCTCAGCTTAACTATTGCATTACTAGCCAAGGGATACGCCCTCCAAATCCTTTTAACAAAATAAACCAAAAAACCCACAACCAAGAGAATTTAGGTACCTCCTGATGAATTTCCATTGAAGATACCACCTAAAGGTATAAAGTCTGAACCCTTGCAGCACTAACCATTCTGGGCCAAAACCATGCCATCTTTATCATATTCTGTGCCCCAGTAACGCTGGCTCTAGTAGGCAGTGTCAGCATCAAATTATACTTTTCAACTGCTTGAGTAATCGATTTTCTAAATTGACAGGCGTGCCCTGGAGTTAACAAGAGCGGTGAAACAGGACTCGCAGCACAGGCTCTTAGTCTTTTCCCCAATATCCACACAGGAACAACTGACTAGAAATTCTCATAGGAATGCTGATAAACGAGAACAAAATGCAGCCACAGAAATGGCTGGCCAGGACAACTGGGAGCATAAATGGTGTACTGGACACTGATCTTTAACTCGGAGTAGGGGAAGAAAAACATAAGCATGGATTTTTGGCACTTGTCTCCAAACACAAGTCCCCTCCCCAGCCCACCACTTACCAGGTTCCTGTGAAGGTGTCCTCCAACAACTTGACTCAACCTGGTTTCTGCCCCCAGGTATTTCCTCTGCAGTCTCTTCTTTAAATACCAGGGAGCTTTCCGGCCAAACGGAGGATTTCTTTGGCATTCTGTTGCCCTCAGTACTTAAACTCTTGGAAACTGGTACATCTGTAAGCCTGGAGCTGACAGGTGAAGCTGCAGAACAGGTCACAGAGGAAGATTCCAGACTGCGTGAAATGTCCGTCAGATTATTTGTAAGCAGTATCTCAGCTCTCTGCTCCCCCAGGAAGGCATCTGGCTGAGACAGCAGATCTGTAATGCAGGAAAGCTTCCCCATCAGGACAGTTCGCTTTGATGCAAGTTCAGCTGAACTTCCAATGAGTGCCTCAGCACCATCACTTTGTCTGGCCAAGGAATCAGTCTCTAAAGGACTAGAGGTCTTCCTCTTCCTCTGACACTTCAGTCTGGGACAAGCCTGTTTATCCAAAGCATTCATGTTGTTGTCAAGTTTAGCTTGCCCCTTTTCTTGAAGGCCCCCTGTCTGGTTTTTATTGCTCTGAGCAGCTACCACCCTCTGAACTCTGGGGATTTTGCTAGCCTTGCTCCCAGGAATAGACCTGGGAGGTACAATGTCACCTCCTTCAAAATCTATCTGGACACAACCAAAGTTTCCTGCAAGATCCAAAGGACGGACAACATACGTTTTCCTGCTACGTTTAAGATTAGCTGGCAAATCCTTTGTGCTCTCCTTCGCTACTCCTTGAACATCTACACATGACCCCAAAATATCAACTTCATTTCTCTGACCACTACAACTGCTTTTCCTGGCAGTCTTCTTCCTGCTTGTCTGGCTTCTTTTAGGCTGTTCTTCAGCTTTGGCCTTTGGTATATTCACACTGTTTGGCAGATTCTCCTCAGAGTCATCTATTTGCCTAATTACTCTAGTTCTTCTGTTGGTTTTCCATCTGATGCTCTTTGTGCTCACACTTGACTCCTCTTGCAAAGCACAGGCACTTAAGGTCTCTTTCCTCAGGAAAAGTGGATTTTGTAGACTGGAATCATCCGAGGGAACTTCTTGACTTGAGAGGTTACGACCTGGGCTTTTTGACAAGCTCTCCATACCGTCGATCTCAAAGACAACTTCCTTCTTTACCTGTTGCACCAAGTCCCCACTTCCAAGACTATGCAGCTGTGCTGGATTCACCACATCTTGGATTTCATCAAGAGAGCAGGAACGTTGCTTCACACCGCAGCCTCTGTTCTGCCTGTCGAAAGCCCCCACGCAAGCCTTCTGCCTCATCTCAGAAACTTCAGACTCCCTAGAACACGTTGTGACTGTCAGCTGAACAAGCTTCTTTGCTTTTTGAGCACTCTCTTCACCCTGAGGCAAATCAGGACCACATTTTGCATTGGTTTTAGTTGCATTTGGTTTCTTTTTTCCTGTGCTTGCTTTTTTAACAGTTGTTTTGTCACCAGTTTTACAATTACCTTTGCCTTTAACCTTTTCAGGAGCAAACTCCGGGACTTGGCTACGGCTGGGGTCCATTTCAACACCACACCCAGCTTCTTCAGCCTGTGGCTGATCACACAGAATCTCTTCATCCAAAGATTTTCTGTCAGGAATAACAGTGGTTTGAGTAGGTGAAACCAGGGAGCTGGGAGATTTCAGCTGTGGCTGTGTGTTGCTCTTGCTGGAGCTCCTGCTGTCCTTTGTGATACTCCACCAACCTGCCTGGGTGGAACCGACAGATGGGAAGATACCCACACCAGAAGATGGAGTGCTTGCTGCAAACAGGGTGGAACGATTTCTCCTCTGCGTAACATGCCCTTGTGAGAGACGATCTAAGAAATCCTTTGCCATCTCATCACCCTCATATGAAAGAGGATGACTTTCCCAGGCAAGTGCTGGCAAATTGTCGGCATATTGTTGGGTGGCATACAAGGACTCTGTTGGAAAGATGAAATTCATTCCCAGCAATGCAGCAGGCAAACACCAGCTTTCCCCACACCACTAAAAGCCATACCCCACATACTGCCACAAACCCAGAGCACAGAAAAAGCATGATTTGGTCTCTACAGGGACTTGCCAAACTTAATGTGTAACAGAATTGCTCAGCTGGCTCCGCTCAGAAGAAAAAGGCAGCCCAAAGCAAGATCGCCTCACCAGCCCTGACATTTAGGACTGCTCACGATCTGTATGAGAGCTATTACTTATATGGCAAATCCACAAGGAACAGAAGATGTGCATCTAGTCAGATTCTGCACCTTCAGACATTTCTGAAAATTTTATGGAAGCTCAGTGGCCTATTACTCAGAAAGCCCAGTGAGTGATCTTGAGCTACCACAAGCATGCCAGATATCCCCAACAAGACATCCCATCCTGGCACATAGGTAATTCTAGCGATATCAGCATCACCGAAGCATGCAGCTCCTAACAGTAATTAGCAGCTGCTGGAGTGATGGTTAGGAGCTAAGTGGAGCTATGGCACTGCACTCATTCATTTCTGAACACAGACACACAAAGTCATTGCAGAAGGACAGCAGAAGATGCAAATTTACCTCCAAAGATGCGAGAGTCAAGAAAAGCCTCTCGTGATTCCATTGCTTCAGTTGTCTTCTTCCTATTCTCTTCTTGGTGGGCTTGAGGCTTCTCGGCATGCTGTGGTGGCAAAGTGTCTTTGGAGGCAACAGGCACAATTTCCAGGGGCTCATTAGAAGCAGGTCTCTGAAGATCTAGTGAGGATGTCTGTACTGCTGCAGAGCTGCCACCTTGCTGTCCTGCACTGCACAGCTTGGAAATGGGCACCCTCATCGGCATCCCTATGGCCCTGGTGAAAAGGAGTAACAGCAATGGAGCACGTTCCATGCCTGTGGCAGGCCCCAGAATCCAGCAGAACAGCTACACCTTTTGTCTCCATCAAGAGTTGCTGAAATACGTTTCTGAAGGCTTCCAGTGCTGAAGAAGACACACTGTCCAGCCAGGACAGTTTTCCCATTTTTGTGCAAGCACAACTCATACAGAAAGCACACTGCTGCAGACACAGAAGCAGGAGAAAAACACAGAGGCAACAAGGAAGTAAGGCTTTTCAGGGCACAGGCTGGGACCACAGGTCCACCTCGCTGCGGAACACCAACGCAGCTGCTTGGAGGTATGTGTGTGGGCAGCTCCAAGGGCTCCTCTGTGTTCAAAGGGGAGACAAACTTCAAATATATTGTAAGAGATCCTGCTCTGACCTTGTTTCCAAAACACAAGTTTACACCATACAAGCAGATGACTATTAAGCATTTATACACAACAAACATCAGAGCAGCCAGCTATGGTACTCACTCACATGAGGAAATCTCGTAGGGGTCACCAGCTACAAAGGAAAAACTACCTAAAAGCAATGTGCTTTCAAACAACGGAGAGAGAAGGACTAGTTTATGCATAAACTTGGCATTAGGACAAACAAGACAAGGAATGGCAACAGAAAGACACAGAGTAAAAGGAAACATCAAGCAGTGGCGGTTTAGAGAAGACACTTCACCTAAAACAGACAACTGGGCACACATGTAAAACACAAGAGAAAGTTTAGCATACAGAAATTCAGGGCAAGCTTGGCGGTATCTGACATTTTAAGGCCCACCTCACAAGCTGACCACCTGCAGTATCATCATCCCAGCTTCTTTCAGTCATGCTGCTCTTCTGGCTATTGGACAAGGATGCAGAACTTGTATGGAACTGGAAAGAAGAGAAATAGAAGGGTGGTTTAAAGCTCTTGCAATCCCCTGTGCACTCCCTTGCACAGAAACAGCAGAAGCTCAGTTTCACCCTGGAAGCTATGTCAAATGCTGCTGCGACCCTCTCCCACAAATCTGCACAAATTATTGAATAGATTGCAGCAGAGTCAGATCCTGTCTCTGCAGGCTTAAGGATTAAGTTAAACTAGTTCAGATAATCTGAGACTAGGAAGAAGGAAAATTTTCCCACCCACGAGACAGGACATGTGGAAAGTGTCCCATTCCTTACCCCAAGTTGCCATGGCAACACTTAAGAAATTGAAGAGAAGTCACAACTTGTCATAGCAGAAGAGCCTACTGGCCAACGCAGCCAACGACCCAGAGGAAGGCAGCCCAAAACTGTAGCCTTTCCTACAGCAGAAGTTGCCCTGGAAATCACTAATACCAAGCTAAAAATGAGGATGCAGCCAGCACAATTCAAGCAAGCAAAGAAAAACAGTTGAAGCATCAAACACCGAAGTGAGCAGGCAACACAACACAAAAGACAAACACAGCCCCCTTGCCAGAGCAGTGTGCTCACATTTCCCATGGTTTACCTCAGACAGCCGGGCCATCTTAACCGCTGCCATAAGGTTCTCAAGTTCTTTCCAGGTGTTATTCTGTGTTGAGGTAATAAAGAGAGAGAAACCATAAAGACACTAAATCATAGAACCATTAAGGTTGGAAAAGACCTAAGATCATCAAGTCCAACCATCCACCCAACACCACCATGCCTACTAAACCATGTCCTGAAGTGCCACATCTACATGTTTTTTGAACACCTCCAGGGATGGGGACTCCACCACCTCCTTGGGCAGCCTGTTCCAATGCCTGACCGCTCTCCCAGTAAAGAAATTTTTCCTAATATCCAATCTAAACCTCCCCTGAGGCAACTTGAGGCCCTTGCCTCTCGTCCTATCACTAGTTACTTGGGAGAAGACACCAACACCCACCTCAGTACAACCTCCTTTCAGGTAGTTGTAGATAGAGATAAGGTCCCCCCTCAGCCTCCTCTTCTCCAGACTAAACAGTCCCAGCTCCCTCTGCCGCTCCTCCTAAGACTTGTTCTCCAGACCCTTCACCTGCTTGATTGCCCTTCTCTGGACACGCTCCAGCACCTCAATGTCCTTCTTGTAGTGAGGGGCTCAAAACTGAACACAGTGCTCGAGGTGCGGCCTCACCAGTGCCGAGTACAGTGGCACAATCACCTGCCTACTCCTGCTGGCCCCGCTATTCCTGATCCAAGCCAGGATGCCGTTGGCCTTCTTAGCCACCTGGGCACACTGCTGGCTCACGTTCAGCTGGCTGTCGACCAGCACTCCAAGATCCTTTTCCGCTGGGCAGCTTCCCAGCCACTCTTCCCCGAGCCTGTAGCGTTGCACAGAGTTGTTGTGACCCAAGTGCAGGACCTGGCACACCCAAACATCTATTCTGACTACAATGCTGGTAGCCAGAGCAAGGCATGTTCTGGGGAGAACACAACTTGGAAGAAAGAGTAAGCAAATGAACAGTGACATTTTTCATACACAGAGAGCATGGACAATCAGTGACAGCTCACTCCTCCCAAGGCTGAGTTGCTAGTGCTGCATACCTTGCCCACCGCCCCTCCCCACGCCAGCCACACTGTTAGTGCCATACCAGGAAGGAAAGCTTGTGCCGCAGCACAGCGTTCTGGAAGTGGCATTGCTCTACTTCTTTCTGTAACACGATCTTCTCCTGGGTGAGCCGCTGTGCATTCGCTTTCTCCGCATTGAGAGCCAGCGCCAGTGCTTTATTATTGTGCTTTAGGGAGACTTTAATAGTGGAAGAGTTGTCTGTAAGTGACAGAGAAGCATCGCTCATGATCAGCATCCAAGGTCTCAGCCATGCCTCCTCCCCATCATACTTCTTCCTCTTCCCAGAACAGCCTCCCTCAGGCTCAGATCTCTACAACTCAATAGACCCCCACAAAATCAGCAGTACAACTCCTTCCAGCAACAGGAGCCTCCAGAGAACAGCAGGAAAATTTTTCTACAATAACCTGCAACACTGCAGACAGACACCCTCTCCACACTCAGCGGGCCACGCTCAGCCAGCAAGCTGCTGCTTCAGTTCTTAGTGAATGATGGCATGGTTCAGGTGCTGAGTTTAGAAAGATATGCTTCTGACTTTGAAGAAGTTACCTACAGCTCCGAATCCTCATCTCCATCCAGAAAGACGGAGAAAAGCCTACTGTCCTCTGTAGTATCCCTTGAGCAGATTTAGATTCATGTTTCCCAATTTCAAAACAAATAACTAGAAGTAACAGGAATATCTAACTTTTTCAAGGTAGTCCAAATTATCTCCTGCACTATTGTTGCATTGTTTCCTCCACAGAAACAAACCACAGTTGGCCTATGTTCTGCACAGGACTGCGTGCACACTGAAATACTTTCCACGCCTCTTATTTTTGCTGTTTGGACCCCTAGGACTTGGCTACCTCGACAGAGCTGTCGAATGCCACCTGAGACGCTGCCGAGCAGCCCCGGACGCCCCCGGCTACGGCTCCAACGGTTCTGCGTTG